AAATAAGGGAGAGTTTGGCACCGATGATGGTGGCTGGGACTCCGGTGTTGGCGGTGGGGATGTGACGGGTGAATAGATCTGGGATGCTTTGGGAGATAGAAGCGCAGGATTTGCTGATGGCCTGGATCCCAGTGCCTAGAACAATAGCAAACACTCAATATGTTTTTTAATGAATGACTACAGACACCATTTCAGTGCCAGGCTCTTGTGCCCACCCTCCATTAGAAGACCATGTATATTAAGATCACTCTGGACCTTAAAGGTCTTTTCCATCCTTTGCTGTAGGGGCCAGAGGCCAGAGAATGCAGGTACTGACCTTTTGGGAAGATCCGGGTAGGCAGCGAGTAAGCCTCCCTTCTCTCCCTAATCTACATCACCAAGAAAGTGACCCCAACACCCAGCCTGGGTTGCCCCCGGCTCCTGGCATCTGCAGCAGGAAGGATGGAAGCTCGACATGTAGGACTTCCCCAGGCACAGGACAGGCCACCTTTCCCAGAATGCCCCTCCAGCATCCGTGACATCAGAGCAGTGAGGGGTTGTCATACGAGCTCTGGGACAGGCCCTGGTAGAAGACCATTACACGAATTTGGGTGTCTTTGGGGACATGTTGTGAGCTCCTGAGGGGTGCCTGGGGTCGGAGTGGGGGGCTGAAAGGAGATCGTTGTACCCAGAATTCTGGGTGGGTGGGTGCTGAGTGGCAATGGAGGCCAGGAGCTGAGAGAGGGGCGCTCCTACGTCGCACCAGCTAGAAGGAAACGTCAGGCTCTGGGCAAAATAAATCACTGGGCAGGAAGAACATTTTCTCATCTGTTTAAAGGGCAATGAAGCGTAGCAGTAGCTGGCCCAGAGGGAGGCAGGGCTGAGGTCAGGCGGGGAAGGCTGGGGTTGCTCCCCTCCATGACCTCCCATCCTCCCCTGAGCTGTCCCACTGACATCTGTGCTGCCTCCAGACTGGGCCCCTGGTGGCTGTTACTGCTAACAAAAACACAAATTAATTGGTAATAAAAAATAATGTCAGCCCTGGTTGGTGTGGCTCAGTCAATGGGAGCATCGTCCTATACACCAAAGGTCATGGGTTCGATTCCAGAACAGGGCGCATACCTAGGTTGCGGGTTGGATTTTTGGTCCTTGTCAGGGTGTGCAGGAGGCAACCAATCGATGTTTCTCTCTCTCTGTCTCTTTCTCCCGTCCCCTCTCTCTAAAAATCAATGAAAGAAATGTCCTTGGATGAGGATTTAATAATCTTTCATAATAATAAAACCAGAATATGCAAATCAACTGACCGACTGAACAGCAGAACGTCTGGACGACCTTCCAGACGACCACGCTATGACATGCACTGGCGCCAGGCCAGCCAAGGTGGGTGTGATGAGATTGATTGGGGGGTCCCGCCATCACCCCATGATCACCCTGCAAAGGGAGGCCCAGGCCACCCTTTGTGCGGCGATTGATTGCGGAGCTATCTATCTGGGCTATTTATCTGGGGGTCCGGCAATTGATCGCCCAGCAGAGGGAGGCCCAGGCCAGCCAAGTGATCGCACTCCATGCCTGTTTCCCACAGAGGGAGGTGATCGGTGGCGGCGGATGGGGGAGGCAGTGCTGCACAGGTGGCAAGCAGTGAAGCGGCAGGGCCAGCTGCTGGCAGCCGGGGGAAGGAAAGCCCTGATAGTCCCGGATCACCGGCCAGGCCTAGGGACCCTACCCGGGGGGTCCTGGATTGCGAGAGGGCGCAGGCCTGGCTGAGGGACCCCCCCCCCGCCTCTAATAATAATAATAATAATAATAATAATAATAATAATAATAATAATAATTTTAAAAGGCCTCTTTCAGAGGTGTAACTGTTGCTAATCCATATCTTTTATCTTACTGAAGCCATCAGTTACACCCAGGTGAGGTCATTTGTACCATTTCGCAGATAAGGAAACAGAGGCTCAGAAAGCTAAAGGGACTTTCTCAAGGTCACCCAGCATGGCAGTGTGAGAGCAGAGTAGAGAGCCTGACTTCTACTTGCCATGTGGGATTGAACTCCTCCCGCCCACCAGAGGCTCCAGAGCGGGTCCCAGTGGGGGAAAGGGCTGGGGTCATTGTCCTTTGCCCAGTCTGTGAGGGAAGGGGCAGGTGGAGGGATGTCCCTCCACTCTGCCCAAGCCCTTTGTGCTCAGCTCTGGCTGGTGCCCCTTCCCGTGTCTACTCTCGGCTGCAGGCTCCCTGCAGGCCCCTCCTGGGGCTAAGACTTGCTCTTTTCACCCCTGTCTGGGCTGTTGGAAAAGTAATTTTTCTTCAACCAGCTGGATTTGAATATGGAAACAATATGTAATTACTCTGAGTCCTCCTGGGCGGCATCATCACCAGAGTGAGTCTGGAAGGGCAGGGGCTCCTGGGAAAAGAGGTGGGGAAGCCCTGATGTGGGGATGCACCGTTGGGAGGGGTTCCAGAGGTTTGCCCTAATCTAGCCTGCTTCTGCACAACCCCTAGGAGGTCCTGCTCTCTCCACCCAGTTCCCATAGCCCTCCTGCCTTGCTGATCTCCTCACTCTGCCACCCTGAGCCCCTGGTAGATGGTGCTATCTCTGTCAGTCCTTCCCTCTATCTGACCACCTGTCTTTCCTAGGGGATCCTTATTTTTATTGTGGCTGAAAGAATGGGGTCAAGAAACCAGAGGACTAACAAGGAACAGAGAAACACACAAAATGCTTCTATCTCTCAGGACCCAGCCCCTCCTATTACCTCGCACCCAGCTGGATTCTGGGGGGAAGGGGAGGGCCTTAGGGATCCAGCTGCATCACATCTGCAAGGGTTTCTCTGGGCTCTGGGTCTCTAGTATGCTAATGTCATGAATATTCATAAAGAGGGAGGCAGGGCCCTAGGAGTGGAAGGGGCTAGAGCTCTGTAGGATCAGGTTCTAGAGGCTTTAGAGGGACTGCTCTTACATCCCTGTGGGTACCCCATGTCTCAATCATTCTCCCCACCTTTGCCCACCACATTAAGGCCCCAACCCCAGGAAAGGCATTGCCCCTCACAATGCCCAAGTAAGGAGGCCTGGGGTCTTCCCTGCCCTTGGGGTGCTTCAACACACCAAGCAGATAGCAAGCTGCCCAGCTTGGCTTTCACAATAGGGGCTGAACCTCAAGACCCAGAGACCTGGGGTGTGTTTGAGGGGCCCAGAAGAAGCCAGGTGCCCTGCCTGCCAGCGCTGGGCCCAGGGCACAGGCCTCCTTGGGCTCACGCTGGGAATGGAAAGGTGCCGGCCCTCCTCCCTGCCTCACACAGCCTCATAAATCCCCTTAAGGTGACGGGTGATATTCCTTCATTGCCCCTTATTACCTACTTCCATTAAAGTCGATAATCTCTCACAATCACTCACAACAAATGTCACTGAGACTGCTGGATGGGGGAGGCACTCGGGGAGGAAACAAGGGGCTTTTCTCTCTGCCTCTTCCTGGTCCTGCCCTGGGAGGGGTGGAGTCTTCTCATCCTACCCCTGTCTCCAGGGAGACACAACTCAAGGGGCTTCAGTGGAGAAGTGGGGTTGGGATTGGGCGGCCTGGGAACTTCCTGCTTTCCACGTTTGGTCCTTTCCTGGCCAGAGAACCTTTAAAAAGTAGGGTTCCTGAAGCCATCTCAGCCTCACTGCAAAGTTGCCTCCCTGCTGGCTTGTCCTCTGACCAGAGCCATCCAATTAACCTATGAATCTTTGGCCAAAGTGGTGTGTCCCTGGTCTGCCCATCTTCCTGGTGGCAACATGCCCAGGCCACAAACCACCCAACCAGGGCCCAGAGCCACAGGCATTTTCCTGGGTGCTGACTTTACCATGCAGCCTCTGGCCCAGCCCAACTGTCCCTGGGCACAGTGCCAGGGTGGGGAGGGGGTGGATCTGTACATTTCTGCTGCTTTTACACAAGCAGATGCAACATGGGGGCGCCCCTGGCACAGGGAAAGGCGCTTATGGGAATAGACAGGCACTCAGGAAAACATGTAACACACTGCACACGGGTAGCGTCCCCGTGCCTGGGGACATGCAACATTGCAGAGTTTACACCAGCGCATGCACCAAACATACCACACTGCAGTGTACATATGTGGCTCCTACATACAAGTGACTCACAGCACTGAGCACATATGTGGCACTTGTAAGCTTGCACACAAATAGCATCTCTACATACAATAACAGGCAACATGCATTCAGGACCCGAGCATATGTAAACACACCGTGCATGTGTGTAGCAGTTGCATGCACAGAGCCAGTGAACGTTGCAGTGCACACATAAGGCACCTGTATGCATAAGCATATGCAAAGTTCAGCGCACATGAGTGGCACCTGCATGCACCGGGATATGCAATTTGCAATGCACATGCGGGCGGGGGTGGAGGGCGAGCCAATGCTTCAGTCTCCAGGGCCCCTGAGACCCTGGCTGACTGAGATGCCTCGAGCCTAGAGTATCGCTGGAGGGGCGCCGTGGATCGCCTCATTCTGCTGGTCGGGGAGGCCCTGGGCGGGGCGGGGGCTTACCCTGGGCTTCTCCCGCGCCGGCGCCTGGGGCCCAGGGCGGGGAGGGGAGGGCGCTCTTGGCTCGGCTGGCGCTGCTCCCCCTGTAACAGGAGGCGGCGCGCGTCGCCCCCGCCCCCCGCCCCTTTTCCCGCGGCTCCTAGCGCCCGGCCCGGCGCGCGCCCCCTCCCGGGCCCGGCCCGCGCAGGCGCCGCGTCCCGCCTCGGCCGTCACTCGGCCTGGCGCGCGCTGCGGGCAGCGGCCGGAGCAGCCGGAGGAACCGGGTTCGGCAGCGGCGGCGGAGGCGGCGGCACGGACAGCTGCGGCGGCTCTTGGAGACCGAGGAGGATGCGGCGCCGGCTTCTAGAGTCCGGGGCTGCGGCCGCCGCCCGCAAATAGGAGGCGGTGCGAGACGCGGACGGTGATCCGGGCGGGGGAGCGGGGACCGGGGGTGGGGGGCGGCGGCAGGAGCCCGCGCCTGGCCGGGCGCCCGCCCGCCCGCCCGCCCCGCGCTGCTCCGCGGCGCCTTTTCTGCACCCGCCGCTCCGCGGATCGGGAGCCTCGGCCCTCCGCGCGGCTGCTACGAGCTGCCCCGCGCTCGGCCAGGCCCCCGCCTTAGGGATGGCAAACTTGCGCCCCTTGGTCGCCTCCGCCAGCGCCGGCCCCCGCTCCTGCTGCTGACGGCGCCCAGGTGAGTGCTCGGCCCCAGACCCTGATGCGGCCCCTCCCCGAGCCCTCCCCGCGGGGTCCGGAGTTTCCGCACTAGCCCGGACTCGGGGCGCTCCCCTACCCATCTCTGCTGCTTTCTCCCCTGCCCGAACTGACTTCACTCGGCACCTACCCACCCTCTCCCCTCTCTTTGAGAACTTACAAGCCTGGGCCGAGGTCCCCTCGATCTCTGCCGAGTCCCTTTCCCGTCCCCTCCCCCTTACCCATATTTGTTAAAGCGGCCCCCCCCCCCATTCCTGACCCAGACCTTACCCCATCGCTGTCTCCAGTCTCCCTATCTCAGCGTGGATCCGGGCGGTGCGCCCCCACCCTCATTAGAAGTCCCCGTCCAACCTACAGCTCGATTATGTCACTCCCTTTAATCCCCCCTCCTGCCTGGACGCGGGACCCTGCTCCTCTCCTCCATTTCATCTCTGCCCGGAGCCCTTCCTGTCCCCATCTGCCCCGCATCGGTAGCCGACCATGCTTCCCCTCTTATTTCTGTCCGACTGCCCCTTCCCCCCATATCTATCTGTCCGGTGTCCCGCCATCCCTCGCCAATCTCTGCTGCAAGTCCCCTCCCCCCTCAGCCGGACTTGGGGCCGTGTCCCCCACGTCTGCTCAGAGCCCCCTCCTCTCCAGCCAGGATCTCGACTGGCCCTGCATCCCTGGCTCCCGTGTCCATCTTTGGCTGGAGTCTATCTGTCCACCCCCGGGGCATAGAGCCAGGGACCAAACGCACCCTCCCGCAGCCCCGGGGGCTGGCGTGATGGGCGCGGGAGGGGGCTGTAGGCTTTGAAGTTGGCGGCCGCTCCCGCAGTCGGCGGGGTCCCAGGGAAGGCGTCCCCGCGGCGGGTGTAGAGCGGGCGAAGGGTCTGGTGCTGGCGGGGGGAGGGGCTCCCGGGCCGAGAGACAGGGCCCGCCAGCCCGTCTTGCCAGCTGCCGACCGGGGCCCCGGGACGTCCTCTGGCGCCCCCTGCCCGCCGCCCTGGACCCACCACCCCCTTTTCCATTAGCCGGCAACCCCAGATTCCCGCAGCCCGAGCAGCAGTGGTGGCTGCGGGACCAGCGCTGGGAAGTCCCCGTGGAGAGGCGGTTGGGCGAGGCCGGGTGCTCCCTTGTGCTACCCCTGCCGAAACTGCTCTGGTCTTCAGGCCGTTTACTTTGGGGGTGCGGTGGGGTGGGGTGGAGAAGGCTCATCCTAGCAGCAATTCAGGAGTCCCTTGAGCACGGACCAGCAGGACTGGCCCCTGGATTTGAGGTGGGCTTGTCTGGGCTTGGGCAGTTGTCCCCAGGGAGCCTCTGTCTGTCTACCCGAGGGCAGTCCCTACTGGGTGGGAGGTGGGGGCATAGGTGGACTCTGTCTTGCTTGGGCATGGGGTAGGCAGTGGGGGAGTCCACCTGGCCCTGGACCAGCAGCCACATGGGGAGTGTCCCCTCACTGCCACAGGGGTGGGGGTCAGTGTGGACTCTGTACAGGGTATGCCCAGGTGGTGGTGGAAGCATGAGAAAGGTCTCCCCTGGACCACGATTGACAGAGATTTCCCCCTCTTCTTCCCTTCTCTGCCTTCTCTTTTTGTCTTCCCCTCTTCTGCACCCCGTTCCCCCCGTCCAGCCCCCCAAACACACACACTCTTAAGGAAGGAATAGGTCCAGGTAGGCAACAAAGTGAGGTCCTAACTAGCCTCTGCCCTCTCTCCTCCCTTCCAACCCCAGGTAATGGAGCTGAGTACGTAGTTAGGAACTCAGCTTTTGTCAGAGGACCTGGGTTCAAGGTGTGTGACCTGGGCGAGCTGCATAACCTTTCTGAGCCTCAGTTGGCCTTTCTATAAAATGGGTCAATGACGACTGCCTCCTGTAGTTGCTGAGAGAATGAAGTTAGATTGTTTAGAGTGTCTGGCATCTAATAATGCTCAATGGTGATAGGTGTGTTGGGCTGTTTCTCTTCAAGGCCAAGGTCAGGCCCCTCCCTACTCCACTCCTAATCCCAGAGGAGAAATGCAGAATAGGTCCTAGTGACTTCACTACAACCCCCAGGATAATGAAGCCAGAAAATGCCTCAGCCACCGCGTGGGTCCAGGGAGCCTGTGACTGTTGTTTCTCCGTCCCCAGCCATCCTTTAGCACCCGACCCGGCCACTCTGGGGTCAGCTCTGCTCAGGGTTGCCGAGGTCCTTGTTCAGGTGTACCTGGTAGAGGCTGGCAGGTGAGATTAATACAAAGAAACCCAAGTCAAGTCCCCCAGTGATAGGCTGCCTGTTAGCGGGGCCCACGTGGGAAATCAGTCACAGAGGAGCACATGGGGCACAGAGACGTCCGTCCCCCCCCCCCCCCCCCCCCCAGGTCAGATGCCATCAGTAACTTTCCAGGGCAGTTAGCACTCCAGATCGGAGTTAGGGGGCCACCTGACCTGAGGACCCCAAGAGTTTGAAGAACCCTGGCGTTGGCGTGAGCGAAGGGCTCCGACGTTCTGTTTGGCCGAAGTCCTGTCGGCAGTGTGGCCGGGCCCGGGTCCCACCTGGGAGTGGCGGCCTCCCTCTGGCCCTGGCAGCCCTGGCAGCCCTGACATGGGGGAACAAAAGCTTTCGGTTCCTGTAGCAACCGCGGCTCCAGCTGCTGCAAAGTTCCGGGGAGGCGGGCGGAGGGCGGCTGAGTCACCGCCCCCTCCCCCGCCGCCCACGCGGCTCCGCCCCGGGAACCGGGGGCCGTCCCTCACCCCCCTCCCTCCGGCGTGCAGGAGGCTCCGGAGCCCCCCTCCGGGACGAGAGACCCTCGCGAGGGAGGGGGGGGGCGACTCTCGGCCAGTCTGGAGGGAGGGGCCGCCTGGGGGCAGCTCGCCCCCTCCCTCCGGGTCTGCCCACCAGCCCCGAGGCTGGATGGAGGGTGTGCCCCCGCCTGGATGCCAGAGCTCAAGGAGAGGGGGCCCTTGAGGACCCCGCCCCTCCGGGTCTCCCCTCCCCCCTCCCCCGCAGGTGCGTGGGCAGGGGACCCAGAGGCCGGGACGGGGGTGCGTGCCCGCGCGTGGGCCTGGGTTCGGCCCGCAGCGAGCGCCGGGGAGGCGGAGGGTGAGTGACAGGCGGGCGGATTGGAGCCGCCGGTGGATGAATTCGACCGTCTAGCGCCCCGCCGCGCCCCTCCCCCAGCGCGGCCAGCGCTCCTGGGCCCGGTCGCCCAGCTTCCCCTGTTCCTAGCCGGCCGGGCGGAGAAGGGTCGATCCTGGGGAGCCCCAGAGACCCAGTCCTAGACTTGAGGTGCCCCACCCCGCCGCTCTGCTGCCCACCATCCCCGAGTCCTGCCTTGGTCCTTCCAGCTGCTGCGAAACCCTCTGATTCCCTCTGTGGTGCAGACGGGCAGCCCGCCGCTGGGCAGGCCTGTGGGGTCTGGGAGCAGGGGCCTGAGTGGGCCTGGGCAGAGGATGGGGTTCCGGGCTTGCTGGGCGGCAGACGTGCGGTGAAGTCTGCCTGAGGAGGGTGGGGGTCCCTGAGACCGAGATTACTCCCTCCAGCCACTCCCCCATCTCAGCCCGTTGAGGTCCTGAGGGAGGAGGAGGCCTTTGGATTATTCTCTCCTTTAACTTCCAGACCCAGGAAGTGCTTGCGCAGAGCTGACCTCCTCGCCTTTCCTGTGCAGTTAGTTCTCGGGCATGGAGGGTTGTGGGCTTACAGGTGGCAAATTGTGGTTCAACCCAAAGAACCTTTCCAGCGGCAGCAGTTGACCTCAGCAGGAAAGAAGGAGAGTTTGTGAGGTTCTGAGAAGAGGGAGAGGGAGCTTGTGAGCCCTCTCCCTGTGCTGGCCTCTGTGAGGCCGAAGGAGAAGGTGCATGCAGTCCTGGGGGCAGGGGGCCATGCTCAGGGAGGTTAATCTGGCTAATAACTAGGTAGGCTGCCTGTGAGGCAAGGATTCCTCTAGGTCCCCTCCCAGGGGAGGCGCTCTCTGACCTCGCCTGGAATTGGGCTCCTTGCGTTATTTTGTGTGTGGAGAGTGATATAAAGAGGGGCCCCTAAAAAGTCATATATCACAACAGCAACAGTGAGGCTCATGCGTACTCGGGGGAAATTCTGGAATTGGTGTGAAGGAGTGTCTGAAGGAGACAGCAGAGGAGGGGTTTGGGCAGGTTAGGAGGTGGCTCAATGCTGGAGAAGACACACTGTGGCTCTGAAGGGTGTGGACCTAGTGCTTCTTGGTGGGTTTGAACTATGGAGTAGGGGCCAGTGGAGGCCCTGGAGGTGGGGGAGTTGGGACTATGGAGTAGGGAGCAGCGGGGACCCAAGAGGCTGCAGGAACAGGAAGGAACAGCAGGTCAGCTCCTGCCTGACACTTAGCTGTCGTGTCCTGAGCCTCAGAGAACCCAATACCTGTGTGTGTTCACGCTGGAGAGTACATTTGCATCTCTGCCTCTGTGCACAAACGTTTGGCTCTTTATACCCTCATACATGTGAATGTGCACCGTCCTGTGTGCATGTGAGTTCCCACATCGGTGGTCTACACTCATCTATGTGCATGTGAATCTTTTTACACGCAGAACACCTGTGATCACCTGTCTAGCTATGCATCCATGCATACATACTTTTGTGTGCATGCCTGTAGGGCCCAAGGATGTTCCAGCCCATGTGTGTTGGTGTCTGTGTGGGGAGATTCCCGGCCTGCTCTAAGTGGGGGAGGCGAGGCCAATTAAAATGAGCTCCCACCTCCCCTCTGCTGAGCCCCAGCCATGGCCTGAATTTTGCAGCCTGCTTAAAAATAATTGGGGGCAGCGGGGGGATTGGATGTCAATCATTATCAGCCGCTGGCTTTGCTGGTGCTGCATCAGGCTGGGCGGGCTGAACAGTTTGGGACAGGGATAATGCAGGGTGGGGAAGACCAAGAGTCTGGTTCCTTTTTCTGGGGGAGGGACCGTGGAGACATAGCTTGCCTGACTTCTGCTGAAAAACTCCAGGAGGGTCTTTGGAGGAGCGTGGGGTAGCTCCTCCCCAGTAAATGGGGCTGCCTAGTGCTTGCCTGCCCCCACCCCCTAATTTGTGACTAGGGCTTGGGCCTGGCTCAGAACTGTAGCATGTGGGATCTGGGCAGCAAGGAGCTCCCTTCTACACAGGGATTGGAATTCTGAGGCTCTAATTCCTGCCCCCTGCCCCAACCTCCGGCCATGATTTAGACTCCTGAACAGCTGAGGGGAGATCCATCCCTGGGGAGCAGTTTTTCTTAGGAAAATCTAGCCGTACCTGTGAATATTCCTATGTTTGTGGCTCAGTTCCCAGAGATAATGGCTTGTCCATCAGGCCTGAAGCCTGAGCAAGGACGGGGACTGAGCAAGAGGCTGCTGGTGGGCGAGAGAGAAACCGCGCTGGGGCCTCAGGTCCTGAACTCCAGTGTGATCTTGAGCAGGCTGCCTCCCCTCTCAGAGCCTCATCTTTTTTCCTCTAATGTGGAACAAGCAGGCTCTCGGGGCCCATCCAGTGCTGTGAGCTATGCCGTGGACACGGAGGAGGAGGAGGCGGTGTGGATCGATTTGGGGGCAGGGCTGGAAGCGGGCCTGAGTAGGCTGTGGGCAGTGACTGTGTCCTGGCTAGTGAGCGGGGCACTGGCAGGTGTGCTGCCACCAGCTCTTGTCCACTCTGGCCTGACTGCCTGGTGGGTCTGTCAGGGTTGGACTTGGGTCCTGTTGCCCTCCCACACCTAGAGGATATTCACACTTGCTGGGAGCTCAGCTTAGGGCAGCATTTTGCTGGGCGGGGCGGTGGGGGTGGGGGTGGGGTGTGAATGTGGAAATCAATGAACTCTGGTTTCCATTCTTAGGACCCTGAAGACTCATGAGATTTGAGCCAGCCCTGGGGGAAATAGCAAGGGACAGAGGTCATGAGTGGGTGGTGTGGACTTTCAGGCCAGGGCTGTGGGAGCTAAGAGCAGGGAGACGGCATGGTGGCCTCACTGGGGGTGATAGGCCCTGAGCCAGGCGTTGGAGGATAACCCAAGACGGGAGGGGAAGATGGGTTTGTGGGGAATTATTGCACCCATTTCGCAGATGCCACTCCTGCTCGTTTCCACCAGGAAATCCACAGCAGCAATACTGTTGACGTTCATACGTGCGATGTCCTCCCATGAGCATGGCTCAGGTTGTACGCAGTCTCTGGCACACTGGTGGTCACGTCCCCCCCTTTTTTCTCCCACTCAGTAAAGCAAGTGAGTGAGAATGACATTGTTCCGGGAATAACCTTGAATCGCTTTGATTTATAAAAAAGCAAATCATCAAACATCGCTACTTTGACAATTACTGCTGGATTACGCATGACACACCGGTGACTGGGAGCAACAGTTCTGGAGAATACCAGCTGGGGGGTGGGGGTGGGGCTGGACTCTGTTGTCAAGCTGAGATGCTTGTGTTGATGGGACTGACCGAGGACCATAGGATAATAGTAACAACGACAACGAATGTTTCTTAAGCACGTACGAGATTCAGGCACTCTCCCCTGTCTTCATTCTCTAGGTAAGGAAACGAGGCTCAGAGAGGACAAGTCCCTTGTCTGAGATCATGCAGGTGGTCTTAGCCACGAGGCCCACGACCTGCAGCTTAGCCACAGGAGATTCAGAGCTCATGCTGGCTGTGCCTCGAGCCACTGACACTATCTCTTTCCACAGGGCAAGGGACATAGGATGACCCCAGCCTGTCCCCTCTTACTATCTGTGATTCTGTCCCTGCGCCTGGCCGCCGCCTTCGATCCCGACCCCAGCGCCTGCTCCGCCCTGGCCTCCGGCGTGCTCTACGGGGCCTTCTCACTGCAGGACCTCTTTCCGACCATCGCCTCGGGCTGCTCCTGGACACTGGAGAACCCCGACCCCACCAAGTACTCCCTGTACCTGCGCTTCAACCGCCAGGAGGAGGTGTGCACCCACTTTGCACCCCGCCTGCTGCCCCTGGACCACTACCTGGTCAACTTCACCTGCCTGCGGCCTCGCTCGGAGGAGGCGGTGGCCCAGGCGGAGTCGGAGGTGGGGCGGCCGGAGGAGGCGGAAGCAGCGGGGTTGGAGCTGTGCGGCGGCTCAGGCCCCTTCACCTTTCTGCACTTCGACAAGAACTTCGTGCAGCTGTGCCTGTCGGCCGAGCCCTCGGAGGCCCGGCGCCTGCTGGCACCTACAGCCCTGGCCTTCCGTTTTGTCGAGGTCTTGCTCATCAACAACAACAACTCCAGCCAGTTCACCTGCGGTGTGCTCTGCCGCTGGAGTGAGGAGTGTGGCCGTGCCGCCGGCAGGGCCTGTGGCTTTGCCCAGCCGGGCTGCAGTTGCCCCGGTGAGGCTGGGGCCAGCCCTGCCACCACCACACCTCCAGGTCCCCCTGCTGCCCACACCCTGTCCAATGCCCTGGTGCCCGGGGGCCCACCCCCATCTGCTGAGACCGACTTGCACTCGGGGAGCAGCAATGACCTGTTCACCACCGAGATGAGATATGGTGAGTCTGAGCAGGGCCTGGGTGGGGTGCCTGTGGCCAGGGGACTGATGGTGCCTGCTGGTGCCCATCTGGCAGATCCATATAGCTGTTCACCCATGTCGCCTCTGTGCCCAGCCTCGTCTAGATATTGGGGTCATCAAATGAATTAGGGTTACACCTCCCCCTTAAAGAGTTTCTAGTCTGGGTGTGTGAATGGGGGCACAGATCAGACAATGATTATGATAAACCCGGGGAGGGGACTGCCTAGATGGGCAGTCAGGGAAGGCTTCCTGGAGGAAGTGAAAAGGAGCAGAGATCTGAGGGACAGATGGAATTGAGCCAAGCCAAAGGAGTGGTGAGGGCATTCCAGGCCGAGTGAGCAGTGTGGACAAAGGCCCAAAGCTGGGAGTGACTGTGGAAGGGCCTGGCATTGCAAGTTGACAAGTTTGCCTGGAGGCTGGAGTAGGCAGGGAGCGGGGCTGTGTTCCTGCCCACATGGGTTTCTGATTTTTGGCAGTGGCCCCAGGGTCGGGGCAGAGGGAGATGCAGAAGAATGTGCCTGGGTGGAGAGGCCCAAGCTTCTAGGCTGCCTTGGAGGCCTGGGCTGGCTCAGCTCCCAGCATCCACTGTCTCCCCACTCTGGGCCCAGGTCTTCTGGGACTGAGGCCGCCAGCTGCTAGGGCTTCCTGCTGACTGGGCAAAAGCTCCCCGAGCCCTTGAGTCCTGCCTGCTCCTGCTTCCACTCCAGCTCCCTTCTGCCAACCCTTCCCGCTGCTTCAAGGCTCCAAACTCCTCAGCTGGACCCTGCGTGCCTACTGACCGGTGCTGGGCAGGGCCTGGCCAGGGGCCTGGCAGGGAGTTGGGTGGGAGGGAGGCAGATCTGGGATCTGATTCTTAGCTCTGGTACTAACGGAAGTTCCCTCCCCTCTCTGGGCCTCAGTTTCCCCATTTGGGATAACAGGTGTTGGCCAACTATCATGAGGCTGTCACACAGGGATATAAGTCAGAAGGAGCATCTGGATCAGCCTGAGAGAGGACCACAGGGAGGCGGTGGGGCTCGCGGGAGGGCTGCTAGGAGTATGGGAGGAGTATGATCTGTCCCCATCCCTGCTTTGGAGGCCAGTGTCATGGAGTTGGGTACTGCCTTTGACTGTTACCTGAAGTGGACCCCCCTCCCCCCGCTTTTGGCACCAATTTCTTGTCCATGAAATGGGGAGATATCCCTGAAGTAGTAAGAGGGAGTGTTTATCACGACAATCCTTTTGGGAAGGGGCTTCTCTGTCCCCCATGAGACATCTGGCATCATGCCCAACCTTGGCAAGTGCCCCATGGCCTTGCTCCGGCCTCTCTCCTCGGCCAGCGTGGCCTCTTAGCAGTGGTCAATGAAGCTGTCCCAGTGACAGCTAGGCCATGGGCAGGTTGCGGGCCCCGGAGGCTGGCCTGGGATTTAGTGCCTGCAGGAAGAAATTGAATTTCCCCTCTTTGTCGAACATCTGTGGAGAGTGCCAGGCATATATCAGGAGGTTTATGGCTCTTCCTGCCTGGCCGCCACTGCCTGTCACTCTGTGGGGGCCTCCATCCTGCTCAGCAGAGGGTGAGTTCTTTTGTCTGGCTTTCCCTGTGGTCCATCGGCCCAGTGGTCTGTAGTGGATGGAGCACGGCTCTGCCCTCCTGGGCAGGCACCATCTGGGCTGGCTGCCACATGAAGCATGGAGCCAGGAGCAGCCAGCTGGGCTTGGTTGAAGCCGGAAGCAGGAGTTGGTTGGTAGCTAGGGTGTCTTTGGGGATCAGAGAGGACTGGTTATAGGAAGGGCACCATCATCCCCACCATCATCCCAGCCTCTGCTGCAGCCTCTGTGACTGAGGATGGGCGGAGGTTGGATGCTGGTTATCCTTGGATGTGAGGCCTGGTATCCTTTCTGAGCAGGGAGCTCTGGGCTCCCAGCTGTTCCCAAGCCTGACTCTGTTTATGCCCCTTGTCCTGCTTGGCATGTTTCCAGGCTGCTCCGTGGGCTTGCCTGCAGGAAGGCCCTGTGGGGAGTTGCCGGGAGTGATGGGCATCAGCCGTCATAAGTGGGCTCACACAGCATGCTGGCGCTCACAGCTGGGCTGGCATAGCCTCTTTCTCTCCCCTGGTAAACAAGAGACTCTTCCTCTCTGCCACCTCCTCCCTTTTGCCACTCTGGGGCAAGACTCAGTTTATTCCATGTGGCAGGGAGTGTCTGAGGGCCAGTGGCGTCATCGGGGCCCAGGGTACTCTGTGCCTGGGGGCAGCACAACCTTTGCCAAGCCCTTGGCCTCATCTCCACACTTCTCTTCACCTCCTCCCCACTGGCCAGCTGGACACATGTACCCACTGTAGGAGGACCGGCTGGCACATAGAGCTGCCAGATTGAGAACAGGATTGGTGGGGATGGTGGTGAAGGCCAGGACCCTCCTTCTGGCCCCTTTGCCAGGGACTGGGGCAGAGAGCTGTGCTTACCTCCTCTGGGACACCCCGAGTATGGTCAGTGGCAAGGCCGGGTGGGGTGGGGCTGTTGGTACTGGAAGAGCGATGAGCCCTGGAACTGGTAGGCAGTGGCGGAGTGGAGTGCCAGGGCTCGCCTCAGAGCTGAGTGCTTTTGACAAGAAGGTACAGGCGCCTGTTAATTTCACGCAAACTGCCTTTGATAGATCTCTTGTTATTTTTGGTGAGTTGAGCCATAAATTTGTGCCATCTTGCCGCTGCAATCTGTTAAGTGGGGGGAAAGGAAGAAAGGGAAGGCAGGCAGGAAGGAGCTTGGTAGAGGATTGGAATGGAGGCTGGTAGAGGCCGGGGCAGGAAGGTGGGTTTCAGAGGGGGTGCCAGCTGCAGAGCCCAGCTCCTGGGGGCCGGCCACCACCTGCAGTGCCTGTCCACCGACCCTCCGTCCAGAGGAGGCACCAGCCGATGGATAGCTGTGCAAAGTGACACCTGAAAGAGAGTGTCTTTCACTCTTACAACCCCCTCCCTCCTCTGCCACACTCGCTGCCTCCCCCCAGGGGCCCTGTCCCACCCTTGTCTCCCCATCATCTGGGTTCCATTCCTAAGTCATGGCTACAGGGTGTGTCTGGGGTCTCCTGAGCGTCTGGCCAGGGAGGCAAGATCGGGTTCAAATCCCCTTTCTGCCTCTGCTGTTGTGTGTTACTTCCCTGATCCAGCCCCCTGTGACTGTCCATTGTGGCCCAAACTCCTCAGCCTGGCCTGCTAGCCCCACCCCGGACCCAGCTGCCACCTGCTTTTCAGCCTGCCCTCTAATTCTCTCCTCTTTCAACCAGGGCTCCTCACTGGCCCCTGAACTCCCTGCTTTCTGGCCTCCCTACCTTTCCTTGGGCTGTTTCCCTCACCTGGAATGCCCTTGCCCTTGTTTATCCAGAACTTGCGAATCCTTCTAATACAGCTCACGCCCTGTCTCTGACCTGGCCTGCCCAGTCCTGCATTGGCCTTTCTCCTCTCAACACTCAGGCCCTGCTTTTGGCCAGCCTGGTCTGGCGGCAGGGAGTGGGGCCGACCTGCCTGTTTGGGGCTCAGGCATGGGGGAGGCAGAGCCTCTCTCTGGATGGGGTGGAGGAGACCGAGCACACACAGTGCGTTTCCTGGGAGATCCTTTCAGCCCTGACCTGTGCTGCTGGAGCTCTGTGCTCTGTCGCGGGAAAGCATGGGGCACAACCCGCCGCCCCCCCCCCCCCCCCCTGCATCTCAGCAGGGCCGAGCCCCAGCCCATCCGCCACACACGTCTTCATGTCTTTATCAGAGTGCAGTTTGTGCCAGGCCTCGGGCTGCCTCAGACGGAATGAGATCCAAGGTAGACCAGACACCCCTTCTGCCCTTTGGTGGGGGAAAGCGACCGCTAGTGTACAGTGTGGTCAAGGCCACAGGCCGAAGTCGCCCAGCCCAGCTTCAGTTCCTGACCCCACCACTGATTAGCTGTGTGACCGCGGGCAAGTTTCTTCACCCCCGTAAAAGGGGGATGGTAGAGCTATTCCACAGAATAATGGGATTAACCAAGAGAATGTGGGTAAGTGCTGAGCACAGTGCCTGGCACGTGGTTCGTCCTTACTGAATAGTTGACTGTTGCCATAATTTAGTGTAATAGGTGTGATGTACATGTGCTGATGTCAAGGGAGAGGAAGAGTAAGGGGTTAAACCACAAAGGGATGAGAAGGCAGTTTAAAGAAGGTGATTCTGAGTTGGGTTTTGAGGAGTGAATAGGAATTCACTAGCCTGTGACATTTTCCCTCAAATTGACAGGTTTTTAAAATTCTTTTTATGAAAAAGAAACTTTATATCATAAATGGAAAAAGGTGTATTACTTCTTTGAAATAGAAGATAACCAAAAAACAACCACAGTGTAAACAAAACGACGTTATCAAATTCTAGCAAAATGCTCATCCCTCCTCTCAATGTTTTAGAGAAATCAGCATGTGCGGGGGAGGTGTTACAGTCTTCATCTTTCATGCACTAGGAAGGATTAAAAGTAAGGCGACCATATAAGTCATCATCTAAACCGGGACCTTTTTGAGGTGATAAAGGGGGAAGAGGTGCTGTTAATTACATCAGGGCAACAGGTGCAACCTGGACTATCCCAGGCAGATTGGCAGAAGTCACCCTAATTAAAAGAGACATGGAAAGGGGATACGTTCCTCTGTCCATGATCCGGTGCTATTTCATGGCACTTTTGTGAGCCACCCCAAGTCATTTCCTGTTGCGTGCTTTGTGAAACCCCGTAGGAGCAAGGGCTTTCGATGTAGAGGAAACAGCCTGTGCGAGGGTATGGAGGTGTGGACCCGCCAGGTAGGGGGAGATACATAGACTGAGGTTACTGGACAGTACTACCTCCCCCACGGTGGTAGGAAATGGGGCCAGGGTTCTGACTGCCGTCTGCAAATACTGCGGCCTCACCCTATTGGCCGAGGGCTGTAAGTGAGGCAGCGAGAAGCTGGGTGTCATGAGGGAGACAGCGTGAGTCAGATGTGGTCTCTGCTCTCGAGGAGCTCCTGGC